GGGGCTTCGTTGTCTCCCAAGGGGGCAACAGCTGGGTCTCCGGGGAGTCGGTTGACTCTTGAATATCGCAGGCTTCAGTTGCGCGTTTCCGTTTATACGCGGATTTTTTCGACCAAAGTTACGCCGCGCGGGCCTGCCTCCCCTTTCACTTCCTCGGCCTCTCTGCCTCCGTCTCCCTTGAGACTGCAAGGCCCACCTTCCTTCTCCCACCCTCCGCACGCTCACCGTGAAGACCAGGTGGTGTGTGTGTGTGTGTGTGTGTGTGTGTGTGTGTGTGTGTGTCTGTCTCAGGGTCTCTGTCGCCCAGGTGGTGTGTGTGTGTGTGTGTGTGTGTGTGTGTCTGTCTGTCTCAGGGTCTCTGTCGCCCAGGTGGTGTGTGTGTGTGTGTGTGTGTGTCTGTCTGTCTCAGGGTCTCTGTCGCCCAGGTGGTGTGTGTGTGTGTGTGTGTGTGTGTGTGTGTGTGTGTGTGTGTCTGTCTGTCTCAGGGTCTCTGTCGCCCAGGCTGGAGTACAGTGGCACGCTCACCGCCACCGCAGCCTCGACCTGCTGGGCTCAATGGGCTCAGGCGATCCTTCCGCCTCACCCTCCCCAGTAGCAGGAACTATAGACGCGCACCACCACACCCAGCTAATTTTTTGATTTATTGTGGAGACGAGGTCTCACCATGTTGCCCAGGCTAGTTTCGAACCTACAGGCTCAGGCTATCCTCTCGCCTCCACCTTCCAAAGTACTGGGATGACAGGCGTGAGCCACCGTGGCTGTCTTAATTTTTTGACTTTTTGTAGGGACAAGGTCTTGCCGCGTTGCCCAGGTTGGTCTCAAACCCCTGGACTCAGGCAATACTCTTGCCTCAGCCTCCCAAAGTGCTGGGATTACAGGCATGAGCCACCATGCCCAGCTCCTTATGACTATTTTAATACCATTTCTCTAGCTTACTTTGCTATAAGAATACTGTGTAGAATACAGGCAACCTACATGATTTGTGTGAATTGGTAAAGCTTACAGTCAACAGTAGGCTATTAGTAGTTAAGATTTGGGGAGTCAAAAGTTAAATGGGGATTTTCGACTTCGTGGGGGTTGGTTCCCCAAATCCCCTCGTTCAAGGTTCAACTGTACACTTAAGTCTCTTGTGTGACTCATCACTTATGTATTTAGAGGTTATTTTGGACTCCATAAGGCTGATCCAAGTAGACAGCCACAGATAGCTGGAAGCGAATAGACATTATTTTATTGCTCTTCAAATGCACACGGCCCAAAGTGCTAAAGTCATTTTTGTGAGCTTCAGTAGGTGCTGACGCCAGACACGGCCATCCATAATGGAGAGGACGGAGGACAGATATTGGGAAGCCCTGAAGCAGATGGACAAGGGAAGCCTTCTGCTTCTGGTCTCCTGCCTGTAAAGGCAATGCTTGCTCAAAAAACATAAAACTTTAATACATGCATGTCTATTATATTAGAAAAATAAAATAGAATGTCTTTAATGTATAAAAGATCAAATTATTATTTTTGAGACAGGGTCTCTCTCTGTTGCCTAGTCTGGAGTGCAGTGGCCCAATCTTGGTTCACTGTATACTTGACCTCCTGGGCTCAAGCAATTCTCCCTCCTCAGTCTCCAGAGTATCTGGGACTACAGGTGCACATCACCTTGTGCGGCCAGTTTAAAAAAAATTTTTTTTTGTAGTGATGAGGTCTCACAATGTTGCCCAGGTTCTTCTAGAACTCCTGGACTCAAGCAATCCTTCTGCCTCGGCCTCCCCAAGTGCTGGGATTACAGGTGTGAGCCGTCATGCCCAACCTAAAATGTCAAATTGACTATTGTTTATTGAGTACTGTACTATGTGGATTATAAAATAGAAAGTGAACATCTCTGTACAGTGTCTTTCTAGAATTCTGCCTGCACATGGATGCATCCTTCTGTGCATGCCTGTGCATTCACATATATTCCCATACAGATTGTTTAGTCAAAAGTAGGTCATGCTTTGCATACAGGTCTTTGGTTTGCTTTGCTCCCTGAACAATACATCTTGGACAACTCAGAGCTGCTTCTTTATTTGAGAGATACATCTTACCCCGACAAGTTGTGCTCCTGAAGTTGCCTTCTCCTTTTAGGGGCTGCATTGCATTGTGACTGTGTATACCGTGGAGTCCGGCTCGGGACTATCCCTCGCTCCTTTGCCCTGGCAGGACTCCTCCTCTTTGCATGGAAAACTCCGTGAGAGTCCCCGGGGCTGGTTTCTGCTGCCCAGCCGCTCTCCGACCTCTGGCTTCCAGGGGCCTAGCATCAGGTCGTGAAGCCTCAGGGTGGAGACCAGACGATCCGCGGTCCTCTCTTCGCCTGGGGACAAAGATCTGCCCTCGTTGCCCGTTTGGGTCACCGCAGAGTGGCCGCGGTGTCCCGCAGAGCCCAGGAGTCCACCACGAGCACAGCGCGGTCCTTGCCGCCATCCCGAGGTCGCCCCGGCAGGGACCCTCGACCGGGCGGCTGGGGAAGGCCTCCGGGCATGCACCGAGCCCTGTGTGGGGTCCGCGGGCGGCGGGGACTCATCGCCCTGGGCTCTGCGCCCTCGCGGCGGTGAGAGAGCAGGACTCGGCCTACGGGCAGGAATCCGGAGTTTGGTCTCTGCAGCCGGCGTGGCCTCTGCCTCTGGAGCAACCGGCGGGTACACAAAGCCTTCGGGGCGACGGGGCGAATGTGCCCCGAGGGACCCTCCCACCAGTGCTTTGCAGGGGCGCCCACGCTCTCTGGCGGTTCCCGGAGTCGCTGCGCCGCCCCTGCCCTCCCATCCCGGACCGCGAGTCCCGCCTCCCGGTCGGGGTCTCGCGCCCTGCCCGGGGCTCCAGGTGGCTCGCTCGTTCCTCACTGTCCTCAGTGGGCCCAGGCAGTCTGCTCCTTCCTATAAAGAATTGGGATGGCTCAGCCTGTAATCCCACGCTTTGGGAGGCCGAGGTGAGTGGATTGCCTGAGCCTGCGGGTTCGAGACCTGCCTGGGCAAATTGGTGAG